TTATTCTTCGGTCCTGGTTTACTCTGAATATCAGTTAAACACACCCTGGGAAAGAATACCTGGGAAAGATTTTTGAAACATGCATGTTTTAAAATGTCTTTAGCCATTCTAGCACATCATTTGTAGCATAGAATTTCCTTCCAGTCTTGCTATCCTTTTCGCTAGTTGTTTGTTGAAGAGAACAGACACGTTTCTTCCTTTTGCCTTCTCGTTCATACCTACTGCACAGCGAACTTTCTCACTTCCTCAGGTCCTTGCTCAAAGATTATATTCCCAGTGAGCACCAGATGTAAACTTGCAAATCCTGTGCTCCTATCTCCTTCACTGCTTCATTTTAGCTCTACAGCTGTTATCCTCTGGCATACTGTGTATTTTCCTTTGTTTTTTTCTGGGTTTGTTTTGTTTGATTTGGTTTGGTTTGGTTTGGTTTGGGGGGTGGTTGTTGTTTCTATCTTCTTTCACCAGTTGATAACTCCTTGGGGCCAAAATCTTTATCTGTTTTTTTCACTGATGTATCCTAGGACCTGGAACAATAGTAGGCTGGAAAAATAACCTGGCACATAGTAGGCTAACAATATCTATTTCTCAAAAGAGTGAATAATAAACATTTTATATCCCTATAATATATCCAAAAGGAAGACAGTAATTTTGTAATGATAAATAAGACGGGACTTCTTTAACATAAAATGAAGAATTTGCTGGTCATGCCACTTAAAAATCAGAAGAAAATTGTGGAATAGATATTCTTTAGATTTTTAAAACATGAAATGGGCAACCATTTCATGCTTATGGTTTAGTATAGATATGTGATCTTTCTAGCAATATTAAAGGAGCTTTTCAGGAGCCCAAGGGCAGTGCAGCAGTAAAAGGTAATGCTCTGTAAGGCAATTCTGCATGGGAAAGTTCCTGGTTCAAGTCCAGAAATCTCCCCAAGTACACGGATACACATGTGTCAATGACATAAGACTACCTGAAGGCTAGGGGTAGATTGTGTCATGGAGATAGTGTTGGGGGTGCTGTCTTTCTTTCTCTCTCTCAGAAGAAATGAATAAACAAAAATAAAAAAAAATTTTGGAGAGGTTTTTGCCAGTGGGCACATGATCTTGCCAGAAAGACAGAGAGAGACAGAGAGACAGAAAGCGAGAAATCACCTTCCAGGGGGATGGCCACACTGCAATCCCTTCTCCTCCATTTTCTTCTCAGGATCTTGGGTATGCATGTGCACGCACTTGGCGTGAGTTCAAGCCACTGGGTCGGGGACTCAGACCACAGTCGACTACATAGGAGTCAAGCGACATAGCTGTTATGCTAACTGCTGTTCCCTACCCAAAATTTTAAATAATAATAAAACGGCCTTTCATCTTCACTTACCTCTCATACCATGCTCCTTTTCTGCTTTGTCTTATTCTAGCTACTCATAGGACTTCTGACTCCCTCAACCCTCAACACTGTGCCTATCTTTTTTTTTTCTTTTCCATAGGATGTGTGTACTCACCAAAAAGAGACAGAGACACAGAGAAAGGGGAAAGTGAGAAATCGCTTCTGGGGGGGGGGGGCGGGGGGGGGCACAACCCACAACACAATCCCTTCTCCTCCATTCTCCTCTTGGGATTTTGGGCACACACACACACACACACACACACACACACACACACTGGTGTTTTTCAGGCGATTGGACCCAAGATTCATACAGCGAAGTTCACCATGTGGGATCCAGTACCTTAACCACCGTGCCACTGCTAGGCCCTTGTGCCCATCTTTATCTATTGCTGGTTTATCTCCCTTTGGGCTTTGGCTGAACTGGGATCCATTTTGGACCAGTTCATCTGTGGCCTTGTCTTGGACAGACTTCCTGCTTAGAAAGTGGTCGAAATAGCCATTTATTTTATACCCAGCACTGGGCTTATAACTAGCACCCCTGCTATATATATATATATATATATATATATATATAACACACACACATTCTACACATTCGACATAAAAGTCATTTTGAGTCTTCTTATTTTGCATACTTCATGATAAAATATTATAAACCACCTTGGAGCTGTGTGCTTCAGTCCTCTCTTGTAGTGTGAAAAGCTATGTTGGAGTGACTGTGTCACTGCCATGTCTAATTCTAATTTTAATACAAGAATCAGCTAAAAACATAATCATTTAAAACATACTTATAAGTAGTAATAAGGTTTGGATATTTGTTTTTTCTACAGAAATTCACTGTTGCCTTAGTAGCTTCAATCTCAAGTCAAAAGAGAGAAGTTTTTCAAATCACATTTAAATTGGACTGCTAGATTTAGCAAAGAAAAATACAAGATATTCACTTAAGTTTGAATTTCAGATCAATAAAAAATAACTTGTAGCATGTGTATATTCCAGAGGGCATCCTGTATTTTATCAAGCAACCCTACATTTAAGGCTAACTGTCCCATCAATGTAATAACTTGGTTAAGTTTATTGTGAATGTGAAAGATTAATATTAAGATGCCTCAAAAAAAAGAGGTTAGAAATTTTTATTGATTGATGACATGATGCAGTAGCCTATTTTAAGCTGGTTAAATCTATATAGTAAGAAAGGTGTGAGTAATGAGATGCTAGCCTAGGAGCAGAATGAAAACATCCATCATTGTGCTTCTTGCCCCTGATTTCCCTAGTCTTTAGCATCTGTAGAATCACAGAGATCACGTCATGGGAACACAGAGTCAAATGCATTTCCCATGGCACAAAACAGTCAAATCAAATCAGAGATAGTGCTTACAGCCTTTTCATTTACTCATCCTGGATCTTTCAAAGGAACATCTTAGTCATCTCAGGCTGCCATGATGAAATACCATGGACTGCATGGCTTAAACAATATATTTATTTCTTACAGTTCTGATGGTCAGGAAATCGAAAACTAAGATGCTGGCAGATTCAGTTCCTAATGAGGGCTTCCTCCTGGTTTGCAATTAGATGCTTTCTTGCTATATCCTCACATGGCAAAGAAAGAAATCATCTCTTTCATGTCTCTTCTAAAAGCTCTAATCCCATTCATGAGGACTTCACCCTCCCAAAGGCCCCAACTTTAAATACCACCAAATTGGGGTTTAGGGGTTTAGCCATATGAATTTGGGGAGAACATAAAAATTCAGTCCATAGCAGTAAAGATTTCAATACCACTGGAAGTATATATCCAGAGAGACCTTTAGTGTTAGTAAATATCATTTCTGACAGTTGTGTGAATCATGAGTAAACATATCTAGGCACCATTCCCAGGTGACAGAGAAGAGAGCGCCTCTCTAAAATCTAGGCATAACTCAACAACAGACAGGTTTTATTTTTAAAAAGTAATAAAACTAATATGATTCCACCTTTCAAGCTGTTTATCACTTAGAGTTTCAGTTCTGGTGATTGCACTGTAGTAAATTAGCTGACTGAGAGTCCAAAGATTATATCTGAATCCAGACAGTCCATTCATCACGCTTAGCATTTGGATTTCAACAGAGCGCTCCTGCATATTTGCCAAAATGCCACTGAAGCTATCACAGAAAGCTCCCTGTTTTGTTCATTTAATGCCTTAAATATTGTCAGTGACTCTGGATTTAGCTTTATTGGAATATTTTAATAATCCATCAATCTCTTTATCTGAACGTTTCATATAACCACTTTCTCAGTTCATAAATACCTATGTATTTTAATTTTGTATCAAAAGGACATGGACTTCAGTAGTTCAATGTATACTCACCCAAAAAAGCAATGAAAAGTGGTAGTAAAAATGATCAGGATGTAATAATATAACAGTGGCAAAGGTTTTAATATAATAAAATAATTCAGCAAGTTGTATGGTTAATATAAAGTTCAAGTTATATATGTCACCTACACTTTCACACTCTCAATACCATTTTTCAAATTGATAAGTTATTTGATCAGATTATTCTATTTTAAAAAAGCATAATTTAAATTTTAAGTGGTAAAATTACCAAAATGTGACCCAGCTGCAGAAGCACATGTTGAACGCCACTGCTTAGTAGACCGAAGCCACATGGGAAGACCAGATTTGATTTCCTGCACACCTTAAAAAGCTGGGTGCAGAGTGGCATGCACTCACAGTCCTGGCATATCAGGAGGCTGAGGAAAGAGGATCATGAGCTCAGCCAGTGTGCAGTGTCCCTGTCTACAGGAGCTGGACATGGTGACAGCTGTGGTCCCAACTACTTGGGAGGCTAAAGCAGGAAGACTTCAACACAGTGAGATCCTATATAAAAGAAAACAATGCGTACACACACACACGAGAGAGAGAGAGAGAGAGATACAATAACAAAATGTGATAATTGGGAACCCAAAAAATTTCAACTGCATAAAATGCTAGCTTACATAATTGGAAGGTAAGTAAAGTTTCTGCGCCAAAACTGTGCAGCTAGTTTTCTGGAAGTTTCAAGTGGGAATCTGGGATCTAAATCCATTCCAAAACTAGTGTGTGTTGGCACCGCTTGATGACTTAGTTTGTAGTACCTGGTCCACAGATGTGCTGTGTCTGGCTGGGCAGTGACTGCAGAAATTGAAGGCAACTGGTACTTTTTTAAACTTGTATATTCCGAAGTATTGGACCTGAGGAAAACAAGTACAGAGATCTGCCTTTTTATCTCCCTAGGTTTGGACACAGGACCATTTTCCCTTTCTTTCTTTTTTTTCCCCCCCATGGAAAATGTTGAGTTTATTTTTAATGTATATTCAATCTCTGTATATCATTACAGCATGCAAAATGAATTTTCCCAGCATGAATATACTATATATTAGTCCAGTTAAAGATATTATCATACACATTATCAACAAATTATTTTCCATTTTTTGGCCCTTAAATGTTCTTTCTTTTTTAACCAATGTCTCTTTTTTAAAAAATATAGCCAATAAAATGACCAATGTATTTTGTATTTTGTTTTTAAGTTAAACCTAACTTTGGATTTTCTTTTTCATTTTCTATTCTTTGGACATATTGAAACTGGTCTCAGGAGCCTTTTCTGCAGACAGTTTTTGGTCTCCACCTTCTATGGCCTCCACCACTCTACCGGAATCTCTACCAATCTTCACTGCTTCGAGCATCCTCTCTCTGACTGACCAGAGCACCACAGATATAATGTCCATTGATGGGACAGTTCCAGGGATCACTGTCCCCACCACTATCAGCCAATTGGCTCTGGAAATTTCTCACTCACCTGCATTTTCAGGTGACAGCAAGTTGAGTACTGGCCGCCAAGATACGATCAGAGACCTAGATGAAGTGGATCTGTTCAGCTCTCCCGTCTCGTCTGATATACCAGAATTCAGTGGCTATCTTTCTACCCCGGATCATTTCCTGGAGAACACTACTCCCATTCCTTTTGCAGTATATCACCACTAGCTCCATGACCATTGCTACCAAGGGCCGAGAGCTAGTAGTGTTCTTCAGTCTGCGTGTGGCCAACATGCCCTTCTCTGACGACCTATTCAATAAGAGCTCTCTGGAGTACCAAGCTTTGGAACAAAGATTCATAGAGCTGGTGAGTGGGTACTAAAATACTTATGATGCCCAATTTTCTATATGACACTTTCTTCCTTTTTGTTGTTGTTATTTTCTAATATAATTGTTGACTGTCTTGAATAATACAGGCTTGAAGAGACAAGCCTCTGAGACAGCTCTTGTTAAAGTAGTTCAGTTAGAGTTTTCAGATCCAATCAAGAAATTGAGTTTGTGGTGTATACATGGGGAAGGCACTGCTACCTAGCCTCATGGGAACCAATTTATCCTTAAAATATTCTCACAGTTCTTCCCAGCTTAGTTTATCCAGGAATAACATATAGCCACTCAGCACTAAATTTGGAATTTTAAAAGCAATATGAGCAAATGTTACTAAATCGCAGCCATTTGACAAAAGGTTAAAAAGCTAGAGTGGCCAGCACAGATAAGGCTGAGAGTTCAGGTGGAAGGGTTCTTCTTTAGTTCCCTTTAAGTTCTTGTAAATCTAAGCAATGATTAAATGACTTATTATTCCTGACCCCTAACAGAGAAGATGAAAGGATGATCATGATGATATATATATTTGATAATAAAACACCCTGAAACTCACACATGTGTAATTTTGTTTTCACATGTGTAATAAGAAATGCATATACAATAAAAGATACTGAACTATATGCTTCCTCTCTATAGTCATGGCCAATTAAAGTAAGTGAGACAGTACCTAGTATGCCCATTGTAGATTTTCTGACAATAACAGGAAAACATGTTGTGTTTCATATAAGATATTAACCAAATTTAAAGCCGCATAAACCCCAATTTCCCAAGTGAATGCTTGCTTTAAATCAAGACTTTATATGGGCTAGCAGATGACCTAGCAGTTACATCACTAGACTCCCACATGGCCAACCACGGTTCAATGTCCCAGACCCAGTGGCTCAAAAATCACACCTGGCACATGTGCATGCATGCCCAAGATCCCAAGAGGAGAATGGAGGAGAAGGGACTGTGACATGGTCATAGCCCCAGGGGATGATTTCTCATTTTCCCTCTGTGTGTGTGTGTGTGTGTGTGTGTGTGTGTGTGTGTGAAACACATGCACCCTAAGGCAAAAACTCAAAAAAAAAAAAAAAAAAAAAAGGCAACACTTCATCTGTGCCATCTGCCTGGCCACCCCTCACCACATACACACAAGGAGGTGAGTAGATATTGGCACAGTCTCGGAAAACATAGTCCCAGTGAACCCAACCCAGGGGTACTAACCAGGGTTCATGCTAAGCTACTATAATAAAGACACCATGGATGTGGTGACTTAGATATTTATTTCTTGACTGGTGGAACAGCTCTGGTCAACAGTATCATACAGGGTCCCACATTTCTTGCATCCTACGGCTACCAGTCCAAAAATGTTCCCCATTCACATAGTCAAAGCTGGGTCATTGGTATATCCCGGTTTCCATTTATGACGAGAAAAGGAAGGAAAGCAATTTACTTGTAAGCAAGTGATATTAAAGTGGCCCATATCACTTGCATGCATACTCTATTGCTGGGAACTTGTCACAAGGCCACACCCTGCTCCAAGTAGACTGGGAACAAGATCTCTCACTAGGTGGCCTCTTTCCCACAAAAAAGAGAATAGATTTGAAAGAATGGGCAGCTGGCCTTCTGCACACTGGATGAAGATAGGAAATCCCTGCAGAATATTAAAGTGATGCTAACACCTGAAGAATGAAGGCAAAGTAAGTAGGAGAAACCAGGAGAGAGTACATTGAAAAAGAAAGTTCCATACCTTGTATAAAATCTCATTTGATTTTTACAATAACCTTGTGGAAGAGAGCCAGCAGAATGTGGGTGAAAATTCTGATAGGATGGAGTCAGGAGCAGAGAAAAAACAAGTCTGAGACATCCTGGGAGATTGCTGCTTGCATTTTTGTGCTCTCTAGGTTCATAGGTGTGCAGTTCATGAATGAGGGGGCTCACTTTTAGGGCCAGGGGCAAGGCAGATATCGCTGCTATCAAATATTTCTGAAAAGTGATCTCAAGGATAGCTATAGCTCACAAGAGTAAGGTGTGGGAACTAAAACTCAATGCCAGGGCATTCTTTTGAGATTATTAAATTAGTCTGGAACGGGATCCCTAGGAACACTTTTAGCACTCCCTCGTAATTCAGACAAGAGCACTAAGGCCAAACGCAGAGGTTACATGGCTTAAGGAAGATCGCAGCTTGTCAAGGACAGTTCCAGAACTAGAACCTGAGCCCCTAGATAGCCAGTTTCCCCTTATTTCCACTGCACTGCATTTGTTTTGGCCATGAAACATTTGCTGTAGGGACAGACACGCTGACCTTTAAGGTGCTGCTTATTTCAATAGGTCATTTCAAATTGATCACTCTCAAATAGATGTCCCTTTTCACAAGCATGGGTTAGTCTGCTCTTGCACTCTGTCTGGAACATGTTTTCGTTTACTTTTTTTTTTTTTTTTTAATAACTGAACCTGGCATTCTAGCTTTGCTGGTAGCACTGGCCTGGATTTCCAAATCCATTCTCACAATTTATCACAGAGAAAAATCACTGCCCATCCATCTCTGTACTCAGAAAGGAGAAAATCTGGGACATAATCACTACAAATCAATCATTAAGTAATTGTGTTCTGGTCTCATAATAAATCAAAAAATAAAAATAAAAACAACAAGAAGGAATTGAAATAAATATATACCTCTGATAATAAAAGGTGAGTATAAATAGAATTAGCAGCAGCTGAGCACTTAGAACACAGCTAAGAGTAAATCTTACTCTTTTATTTCTGCAGTTGGTTCCGTATCTACAATCCAATCTTACAGGATTTAAGCAACTCGAAATACTTAACTTCCGAAATGGGAGTGTGATTGTGAATAGCAAAATAAAGTTTGCTAAGGCGGTGCCGTATAACCTCACCAAGGCTGTGCATGGGGTCCTGGAGGATTTTCGTTCAGCTGCGGCCCAACAACTTGATCTGGAAATAGACAGCTACTCTCTCAACATTGAACCAGGTAAAAGAATCCAACTCAGAAAATTGGGAGAATTTTTTGTTTATTTTGTTTCATTTTTAAGCACACTATTTGATCTTTAAGCCACTAAAATCACACTTGATAGAAATAACTTTTCAGAAACTATGGGTCACATTTTTAGAAAAGTAGAGTCCTGAGAAATGCAGGTTCAAGTTTTCTTCCGTCAAAAAGCAAAGAATAATTACACACCTTGCTTTCCAATCTGAGAGTTGTAATTTCTCCTCAAAGCAAAACTTTTAGGGACCAGCAGTTAGCATAATGGCTATGTCGCTGGACTCCCACGTAGTCGACCCCGGTTCGCGTCCTGGACCCAGTGGCTTAAACTCACTCCAGGCGCGTGTGCGTGCGTGCCCAAGATCCTGAGAGGAGATTGGAGGAGAAGGGATTGGGATGTAGCCATCCTCCCTGGGGGGTGATTTCTCGCTTTCTATCTCTCTGTCTCTCTCTGCCTTTCTGGTGAACGCATGCGCCCTATAGCAAAAATCTCTCAAAAAAAAGCAAAACTTTTGCAGTGCTTAGAAGGATTTTTTTAGAGATATTTTTGCTGTAGGGCATTTGTGCTTGCAAGAAAGACAGAGAGAGACAGAAAGCAAGAAATCATCCTCCATGGGGTATAGCCACACTGCAATCCCTTCTCCTCCATTCTCCTCTTAGAATATTGGGAACGTGCGCACGCGCACACGTGTGCACACACACACACACACACACACACACACACACTCGCCCAGCATGAGTTTTAAGCCACTGGGCCTGGGACTCAAACCACAGTTGACTATGTGGGAGTCCAGCGATGTAACCATGATGGCACCACTGATCCCAGGTTGTTCTTTTTGTTTTGTTTTGTTTGTTAATGTAGCCCGCAGCCAAGTTTATTCAAATCCTGACAGAAGTCAAAAGCATTTTTTCAGTGGATTGCAACAACCTGGGGGTTCCTACCTAAGAAATCTCCCAATCACAGTTAACTACCAGAACAGATTTTTCATAACTTAATTCAGGATGAAACTGAGCATCCTGAGGAAAGAAAAAGAATCATTAGCTCAAAATTAAAACTTAGAGAAAGTCATTTCACCACCACCAAAGAAAGAAGAAAATAACTTCCTTTTCCAGTTGTATGCCCTAGATCAGCTTCCATATGCAGATTAAAGCAGAGAAGAGTGAGACATGTAGAAAACTCTTAAGGATATGGGGGGCTTAGCCCAGAGCTACATAATAGAAAGCAAAGAGTTGCTTTGATAATAAAGCAGAGCATGTGTGCCATTGTAACCAGTTAGGCCCAAACTGGGAACTGTTTTCAGCATTACTTTTGAAATTCTGTTTTCTACCCAATTGCAGGGAGATATTTTATTTTTTTTAATTCCCTGGAGTGCAAGGGAGGGAGGCTTCAGCATTACTGCCACAGACACTGCCAATCAGGTTCAAAGCAAAGCTTCCTAATTGGCTATGAATTAGTCAAGTGAATCTTTAACACCCTCTCTGGCTCTCCATGGATTAACAATGAAGACAGAGGGAGAAGGCCTTGAGCAAAATGCAAACCAAAAGGCTCAGTGGGAAACATTTTTCTTTGACTAAAACAGGGCTTTGAGCAACTTTAAGAAAATTGCCTCAGCACCTTAGTAAACAGGATCATTAAAAAGACACAACACTCAGACACTGAGCCTGGGAGTATTTAGCTCTGAACAGGAACAGCTAAGAAAGCCCTCTAGACTTCGAAGAAATCAAAGACCTCCTGAATGCTAGTAAGACACTGCCTCTTCCCCAAAGACTACCTCCAAACTGAGGAGGAACCAGGGGGTCCTTGCCAATTAGGCTCAGGAGACTTTTTCAGTCATTTAATAAATAATAGAAAGGGCACAGGGAGGACTCAGAAAGCATAAGGGAGATGAGAATCCAATCCCCTCCCTTCCTCCCTCCTTCTGGACTGACAGTCTACTTACAGACCCATTCCACAACCAGGTAAGGAGCCAAGCAGAGAGCTGGGGAGCATGCGGGCAAGCAGCTATGTGGATAGACTTCTTGGTGTACGTGCCACTTCAGTACCGTCTTACAAAGAGGGTGGGAATGGAGAGTGTGTTGGCTAAGGCTGTATGAGGAGCACCGGCGGCAAGAGCAGCCGAGCAGTGGCCTTGGGAATTCACAGCCAGAGCGCGACTCCTGTGCCCTCCTAGTAGCCTTCATTTCCACAGCAGAAATGGAGGCAGTAGCCTTTCTGAGGATTACCTGGGAGAGTACTTACAGTCCTTAGCATAGCACACACACATTGTAATCACATATTAGTAGTTAGTAGTCATTATTGCAACCTTGTCATAATTAACTTGACTGTTGGGGCCAGCAGGTGGTGTGGTGGTTAAGAGCGCTGGATTCCCATGTGGCCGACCACAGTTCGAGTCCTGGACATGGAGGCTTGCTTTCTCACTTTCCCTTTCTTTCTCTCTGTCTCTCTCTGGACAAAATTTAAAAATGATAATAATAACAAATGGAATTAAATAAATAAATATTTTTAAAAAATTAACTTGACTGTTAATCTGTGACCTGCGTAGGATATCAGCAAAGACAAAAAGCTTCATGACAAGGTGTTTGTATGGGGGTAGGTACCAAATTATTTTTATTCATTTCTTTTTCTTTCTTTCTTTCTTTGGTTAGTTGGTTTGTTTTCTATAGGGTGCATGTGCTCACTAGAGAGAGACAGAGAGGGAGAGAGAGAGAGAAAGTGAGAAAGCACCTCCCAGAGGATGACCACACCACAGTCCCTTTACTTTTCTCCTAGGATTTTGGGTACACATGCACACGCACCTGGTGTGGTTTTCAAGTTGTCAAGTCTGGGACTTGAACTGCATAGTCAGCCATGTGGGATCCAGCCAGCTTCACTACCACACCAGTGACTGGCCCGTTTTCACTAATTTCTTATACTGCTACGTAGCTTTTCTTGTAAGACACCAACAGCAGTACACATGAGCTGGTGCTATTGAGAATGCCTCCAGGCTAGCAAATGTACCTGCCCCATTTGCACTTTTAATGGTGGGACTAAAGGGGGACCCAAAGCATGCTGAACAACTTTGGAAATTACTCACCTGTTTCCTAGAGGTATCTCAACACTGAGCCTGAACCAGTTCACACACTTCCAGAGAAAGAGACTTGCTAAAGTCAGGTAAAGAGATGGCTCTGATTGAAAATTTCTTGAATAAATGAATGACCACTTATGGTATCTCCAAGAGAGAAACTTTGCAAAAATATGACACTAAGCTTTTCAGTGAACTAATAGTTCATACTCCACTCTTTACTAGGGAGAAAAATCTAAATTTTTGACACCCTGAAAACTCTTGAGATAATGAATGAAAAAAAATAAATGAGTGGAAGAGCTATGCCAAGAAATGGCTGTGGTGAGTCAGTCAAGACACAAGTAATACCTCGAACAAAGTGTTTAAAGACAGCGAAATTGAAAAGCCAGGCAAAACCTCTGTGGTGCAGTCAGTAGCCTACGAGGCCTCAGTGCTACAAGTCACATGGTATCTGCTGTCCAAATCCTATGCTTGGTCAGTCAGAAAACATGCTGGGCATACACGTGCATGCCCAAGATCCTGGTGAGCCATCTAGAAGAAGGGGATCGCAGTGTGACCAGACCTTATGGAGGGTATCTCTCTCTCTCTCTCCCTCTCTCCCCCTTTGTGTGTGCATATCACATGCACATGCACTCTATCAGAAATAAAGAAAAAAATTTTTAAAATCAAACATGGACTTTATAAATGTTAAAAAAATAAACAATGAACTCTACGAATTCAATAAGAATCAAAATGGATAGATACAACCAATATTCAAAGGGTTCGACATTATTCTGCGCATAGGTGGGAAGCCAATGTACCCAACTGCCTGCAAAGCTTTCCTTCCAATTAACAAAGAAAGAGAAGAAAGGTTTGAGCAGGCAAGGAGGGACAGGCAAGGAGTGAGGTGGTCACGGGGGATAGTCATTGACCAGGTGGGCTTCCTCACTCACAGCTAGGGAGCCTGGGTTGGTCATTTCACAAAAGGTAGAAGGGTAGCTTCATCCATGGAACCAGCAAGTGGTAACGGGAGCTGATGACCAAGACCTTGACCATCTTCTACATGCTTAATCTAAAACAGTGGGGACTTCAAAATATTCATGGAAAATGTGTCTTATGAAAATAATTATGCAATCAGTTTCAAATTTTTGTAACATAATTACTTTGTACTTCAGTTTCATTGTTCCATGAACTATTTGAAGTCCCCTCATGTTCATCTGCCACCATATTGCATGTTTATTTATGAAAACCAGTTCTGCACAAGGGAATTTGCAGTGTGGCAGAAAAGGGATAGCTTAAAACTATTCTGGGAGGGGTCTGCAGGTGACATGGTGGTTAAGATGCTGGACTCTTGGGACTGGCAGGTGGAATGGTGGTTAATGGCACTGGACTCCCATGTGGCCAGCTTCATTTCCAGTCTCAAACCTGGCAGCTTGCTTTCTCACTTTCTCCCCTTTCTTCTCTCTGTCCCTTTCTGGCCAAATTAAAATTAGTTAATTAAAGTTTAAAAAATGTTTTTAATTTGAAAAAAGGTGCTGGATTGTCACATGATCGACCATGGTTCAAGTCCTAGACCTGGCAGCTTGTTTGCTCTCTCTCACTCTCTCGCTCTCTCTCTCTCGTGAGCACATGTGCCCTCTAGCAAATTAAAATAATAATAATTAATAAAAAATTTTAACTATCCTGGGATAAAAACTATGTTCTTTCCTTTGGGGAAAGAAAAACCTTTTTTTTTTTTTTCTTTTTCTTTTTTTTTTTTTTTTTTGTCATTTTTTTTTTTTTTTACACCCATACCAGTCATCTTTTATTGGATGTGAATTCTCGGCTGGGATATGAAAGTAATCAACAAGATCCTTTGGAGGGGTGCCAAGCCAGGGAGATGAAGGTCTGGTTCAGTGTCTGTCTGACCTCCATGCTGCCCCTCTTCAGTGGTATTTATGTCGCCGC